GAAGCATGCAAGGATTGAGGTTGCAAGGTCTTTCCTCCTTTCCTCTCTTCCTCTCCCTAGGCTCACCTCTGCCTGACCCAAATCCATGTTGGGACCTAGGGAATGGGTGGTTATCACTGTTAGGGTGGTGGGCATGGGGTGAGATGGGGACTCAAAGATGAGAAGCAGTTAGTGGATCTTCTAAGGCTCTAAGCACTCCTTTGGAAGCTCCACATTGTATTCAAATACTAATATTGAGTCACATTCCACATTAAGTATAATGTATATGTAAAACTATGAGTTGAATTGAGTTGGGGTTGGGTAGTTGACATGATGTTTCCTTTTGTAGACATTTAATTCATCATTTATTTCTATTTTGAAGTTCTCTTTTTATATTTTGGATCCATTGGATTTTTCTTTTTGCTCTCACATATGTTCGCGATCCCTTGAAAAGCCACAGTGACTGCAGTGCCCGATGAATGAAATTGCTCCAGAGCAGGCTGGGCTGGGATGGGGTATCCAGCCAGGAGGGGAGCAGGCTGAGGGATGACAGGCCCTCAGGTGGGAACAGTGGTGGGAGAGTCTCCAGAGCAGGTTAGATTGCAGTGTGTGGGGGGAAAGGCACCATGAGAGGGGAACCTTATCCAAATAAGAGACTGGAGATGGGGAGGTGAAGTTGGAATATCACCGTATCTCCTGAACAGAAGAGAAGGTCCAAATTATAAGAACTGGATACGGGAGTGACGCCATCAGCTTCAGAGACTCTGTGCTTTTTCAGCTATCACATTGGGCAGCAGAAGGCCAAAGAGCTTTCCCCAGTTCCCAGTCATTTCAGATTCCCCTACCTTGTTAGACCTATCCTCTACCTCTTTTCAGAGCTTTTCAGGAAGCATCTGAGCTCCCAGTCTCAGGTCAGCTGGATGATGCCACAAGGGCCCGCATGAGGCAACCCCGTTGTGGTCTGGAGGACCCCTTCAACCAGAAGACCCTTAAATATCTGCTGCTGGGTGAGGCCTGAGCCTGGAAAAGGGAGGTATAGGCAGAGGTGGCATGGACAGCCTGGACTAGCTAAGTGTTGAATGGATGGTTACCTGGTGATTACCCGATTATCACTTGTCTGGAGGGGTTGTTACATAGCTTTGCTGAATCAATGCACAAACTCATCAGAGCTCTCTGGGGTTGGCAGAAAGATCCCTGTTCCTGATCTATTTTCTGGTCCAATAACCAGGCCGCTGGAGAAAGAAGCACCTGACCTTCCGCATCTTGAACCTGCCTTCCACCCTTCCATCCCACACAGCCCGGGCAGCTCTGCTTCAAGCCTTCCAGTACTGGAGCAATGTGGCCCCCCTGACCTTCCGGGAGGTGAAGGCTGGCTGGGCTGACATCCGCCTCTCTTTCCATGGCCGCCAAAGCCCGTACTGCTCTAATACCTTTGATGGGCCTGGTAGGTACCAGCTCTTGGCTCTCACCAAACAGACCTCTGAGATTATCTCTGTCCCCTTGAGCCAGGGACTCTGGAACCTTAATGTTTAGGCTGGTCCCTATGCCCAGCTGCACCCTACACTCTCTGACCACCTAACATTCCCTTGGGGAGCAGCTGATTACCTCCCTGGGACCCTGCTCAAGGCACACCTCAGAGAGGACTGGGCCAGAGAGGAGAGAGTGGTTGGGAGGTCAAGTGGCAGAGTGATGGGCATCCCTGTGAGAACTGAGTGATGACAGGAATCTGAAAGAAGAGAGAGTGGCATCCAAGAGACAGTGACCATAGATGGGAGAATTTTATGGGAATGGAGTAATGGAGTTTATAACAGGCAGGGGAGCTCTAGCCTAGGAGCTCTGACCTCTTTCCTGTCCACTTTTGCCTTTGTCCAGGGAGAGTCCTGGCCCATGCCGACATCCCAGAGCTGGGCAGTGTGCACTTTGATGAAGATGAGCTTTGGACCGAGAGGACTTACCACGGGGTGAACCTTCGCATCATTGCAGCCCACGAACTGGGCCATGCCCTGGGGCTTGGGCACTCCCGATATACCAAAGCCCTCATGGCCCCTGTCTACTCTGGCTACCGGCCCCACTTCAAGCTGCACCCAGATGATGTGGCAGGGATCCAGGCTCTCTATGGTAGTCCTTTCCCCTAGTGATCATGAGGGTCAGTCTGATCAGCATCTCTTCAGGCTTGAAGAGGCAGGTCTAACCTCCATGGAGGGAAATGGCTTGGCTTATTTCTCTCCCTCTTGCCCAGTTATTCAGACTTATATTTTCAGGAACTGTTTTTTGACACTTCCACATCTAATCTTCCTTTGGGGCCTCTCTCCCCTCAGACTCATTCTTGGGGGAGAACGAAGATTCCAGCAAATCTCCTTCCCCCTAAACTAAAACATATCTCCTGCTGATATCAATATGATCTTGCCTCCCACCCAGGGAAACTCTCTGGGATTCCCTTTCCTCTTCTCTATGGGGCCTCTGAGCCAAACTTACAGGAGCGTGAGGAGGTCGAGTTACAAGTTCTCTCCCTGAGCAGCATTATGTTACCTTGCAGGCAAGAAGAGCCCTGAGGTAGGGAATGAGGAAGAAGAGACGGAGCTCCTCACTGTACCCCAAATGCCCACAGAACCCAGTCCCATGCCAGACCCCTGCCGTGGTGAACTGGATGCCATAATGCTGGGTGAGGCTCTTCCCCTCCAGGCTATAGGCAAGCAGTGGGGCAGCCCGCTGACCTCGAGGCTGGACAAATGGGAATGACATGGGATAGCAGTATGAGCAGTGGAGGTTAGGTATCAGGCAGGAGTTAGTGGTCATGGAAGGAGGCATGTGGCATGAGGAGGGAGGGTTCAGAGCCAAATTAAAGATGGGCGAGGCAGGCATTTCCCTCGGTTGCTACCCTGTAAGAGCCACTAAAACACATCTGGAAATACAGCAAGATGGAGAAAACTACATTAACTGGAATGTCTATTAAAGAGGGTATTGTACCTGCAATGAAGGACAACTTGGAAGTCACCTGGGGTGGAAAGTAAGGCCCCCAAAGGGGGAGCAGTTATCTGTAGGGTTTTTGTTTCGTTGAGTGGATCAGAGCTCAATTGCTTTGAACAACAAAGGACAGGCTGAACTCTGGGTCCTCCTTCTCTGCCCCCTTAATCTTAACGAATTAAAGTTGAATGAATTTTTGAGGAATCAGCCTGTAGGAGGAGGGCAAATTATCAGCCTATCTGAGATAACCACAAGTCTTTTGACCCCTATCTTTTTAATTTGTTGATGCATCTTTGCTCTCAGGGCCCCGTGGGAAGACCTATGCCTTCAAGGGGAGCTATGTGTGGACCGTGACAGATTCAGGGCTTGGTCCCTTGTTCCAAGTGTCTGCTCTTTGGGAGGGACTCCCAGGAAACCTGGATGCTGCCGTCTACTCTCCTCGAACGCAACGGATTTACTTCTTTAAGGGTAAAGGGACTAATTTATGTGTCTTACCCAAGAAGGGCCTACCATCAAAGAAGCTATAAAAGGGAGGGAGAGATGAGAAGTTTCTGAGAGGGTGCAAAGGAGGAACTGAAACTATCACCTGAGGACAGAGGTGACTTGTTCTTGTATGTTCTCAGGAGACAAGGTGTGGCGCTATATTAATTTCAAGATGTCTCCTGGCTTCCCCAAGAAGCTGAATAGGGTAGAACCCAACCTGGATGCAGCTCTCTATTGGCCAGTCAACCAAAAGGTGTTCCTCTTTAAGGTATATACTTAAAGGCAAGGGTAAATCCCTTCTTAAGGGATGGGCAGGCAACCTCCCACCAAGAAGCTAAGACCTGCTCCTAAAGGGAGATTTGCAGCTGCAGTGGTCTGAGGGTAGCTGGGGCCCCTGAGCCCTCTCCTCATCCTCCTCTTTTCTTTATCTACCCCACTCCTAGGGCTCCGGGTACTGGCAGTGGGATGAGCTGGCCCGACCTGACTTCAGCCACTACCCCAAGCCAATCAAGCGGTTGTTTACAGGAGTGCCAGACCAGCTCTCAGCCGCTATGAGTTGGCAGGATGGCCGCGTCTACTTCTTCAAGGGCAAACAGTATTGGCATCTCAACCGGCAGCTTCGAGTAGAGAAGGGCTATCCCAGAGATACTGCCCACAACTGGATGCACTGTCGTCCCCAAGTCCCAGACACTACCCCATCAGGTGAAGACACCACTCCCTCAGCCACAGGCCTTGACCACTCAGTCACAGGAACAATCTTGGATACCACTTCCTCGTCCATAGATACCACCTTGAACACTGACCGCTCACCCAGAGACACAATCTTGGATATGACCCCCCCAGTCACAGGCTCCACCCTTTTATTCCCTGGTAATGTCACCCTCCCAGAGGCCTAAGACTTCAACCAAATGTCTACTCACTGGACTGCAGGTGCTGCTGCAGGGTCATGGGCCATAGACCTCAGACCTCTAAATGTCCTAGCTCTAGTCCCCATTCTCCCATGCTCTGGGTCAGCCCCCAAATCTACCCATTTCTTTGAGTTCTAGATAGCACTTCCAACTGTGTTATCTACTCTCTGGAAGATAGTGGTAGAGGGAAGGTGTCAATCAGGCCTGATAGGAGACAACAGCTGGGAAGCTGAATGCTTGGGTCCTGTTCTTTCTAGATAAAGTGCAAGAAAACAGCATGGCCAGTAAAATGAGCAAGGGTTTTGGAATTCTTGAGAATCACATTTGCTTGTTTATGACTTAAGCAAATTAATTAACCTCATTGAGCTTCAGAGTTCCCATCTGCAAAATGAGGTTAATGCCAATCCTGCAGGGTTGCTGCATTAAATGAAACACTATATGTGAAGTGTTTGGCACATTTGTGCTTAATAAAGGCTAACTCCTTGTTCATAAGAGAGGACTGAACAATTCTTCCTCTGGCTGTGTGTGTGTAATTCCTACAGTAGCCTAGTCTGCTAAGAGAACCCTTATCAAATCTTTAGTGGACATAGGACTTGTCAGTATGGCTCTTTGTTTTGGGGTGCAAAGAAACAAAAGAGCAGCAACAGTAGAGGACAGACTCCCTGGTTCAGTGTTTAATGCCACTTTATTTACCTGTTCCCAGGTCCTTCCTCCCTCCCATCATAGCCTTGCTCCCAGAGGAGGGATATGTCTTCCTTTATGCTATCTGGGGAATCAGGCAAAAGAGTCATAGTGGGGAGAGTTAGAAAGGGTTAGTGGCTGGGACAAAGTTCTGATTAAGAGATTAGCATCACCTACAATGAGAGGCAGAGAAGGCACTTGTCTCCCATATAGCCCAGAATACAAGGCTCCTTTGGGCAAAAGGGCAACACTCTGGCATGTGGGCAATGCTCCCTCCTTGGAGCAAGAAGCCAGCTTTTGGGGGAGGCAGGGGCTGAGCCAGGCACTGACCCTTGGTCTTCCCTACATCGAGAAGGAGAGAAAGGGAAGCACCATGGAGGACAATAACCCCAACTGAGGTAGGAGAAGGGGGCTTGGGCCTATGGGACCCAGGGGGAAAGGCTAATCAGAAACCCAACTGTCCTCTAATGAGGGGCTTGGGGGATACTGGAGCTCCTCTGTGCCCTTCTCCCCATCAAAAAGCTGTCAAGTGCTTTAGGAGGCTTCCTGATTTTCTACAGTTCCTACAAAAACAAAACCCCTTAATTTACCATTGTGTGGCACACTGAGGCGGGTATATAAAAGGCTACCTGGGTAAGGGGCCCCCCCTTGATTTGGAGGGAATTAGGGAGTTACTTTAGGGAGCAAGGCACCTCTATTATTGGACAGAGGTAGCTACTCATATTTCCATTCCGCTCTCCTCCCCAAGATTCCTCTCTGTCTCTGAAACCTATCCCTACAGGGCTGGTCTAGGTTGGAGGACAGATTCCATCCCCAAGTCTAAGAGGTGAGGAAGTTTGTGTGTGAGTCCTGACGGCTCAGGCCCTGCCCACATAGTGTTCCCAAGCCCTTGCTAGGGGTATGGGGGTATCAGTGGAGGTTTAGGCTCAGGTCTGGGTGGAACCAGAAGGTGTGGTAAGGGGTACAGTGGAACCACAGTCAGAATCCAGGTCCAGGATGGTGTGGGGGGCTGTGGCCTGGCTGCCCGGTCCCAGTTGGCGCTCTCGAAGGCTCTGGAGATAACTCTGGAGTAGCACAGGGCAGAGAGGACAGAAGGAAGGGCCTGGGTCAGTCCCTGTCCCACCCTGACCATCCCCATGTACCCCTCTGCCCCATCCCGCAGAGTGCCCCCTTCCCCCACTCACTGGAGCCAGACTGTCAGCAGGGCTCCGGGCATTGTGGGGGAGCTGGCGCCGGTAGCTGCCCTCACAGAGCCCCACCCCAGGGGAGGTCCGGTGCCACTTGGCCTCTTGCTGATGGATCCGAAGGAGTTGGAGATGCCTTCGCTGGTGGCTCAAGACCACTGCTTGGGAGGGGGAAATACAGACTGAGGGAGGCCTCTTTAGACCCAGAATCCCACCCCCAAACACACACTCTAGAGAAATCCATCTGATCTCCTTGTTCTGGCTCTATCAAGCCTTGTCTTCTCCCCCAGTTCTTCTAAAAGAAACCCTTCTTTGGAGTAGTCTTCCTACTCTCTCCTCCCCGACTTTCCTGAAATCTTCCTTTTCTTCCGTAACAGTCTCCAACAGCTCTTTCCCACTCCCCTGACAATTTTCCTTCTCATTCTTACTGACTTTTGGCTCCTCCAACTTTAACTTCCTTTCAATGCCCTGCCCCATTTACCTTAGATACCTCTGCCCTCCTCTCAAGTATATTTTCCCCCTTCCCTTCCTCAAGTCTGGGACATGGGGACATGAGAAGGCACAGGCTGGCTGCTTCTGTACCATGGCACTAACTCACCATTGGCGTGGCCTCCATGTTCCTCATCCATGAGCTTCCACTGAGCCAGGGCCCCAAGGGCCCCCAGGGCTGGCCAGGTCCCCAGCAAGACCCAGCTATACCAGCAGAGAGGAGGCAAGGCTGGAAGTGCCTGCAAGCGTTGGCCCAGCCGACTGCCCAGTGCCAGCCCTTCCAGGAAATAGTCAGCACAGGCCACCAGCACCGCAGCACCCAGCAGGGCTGTGCCCAGAATGGTGAATGGACGTGGCCACCGAAGCGTGAGCAGGGCTCCCAGCAGTGCCAGCCCCACTAGCCCCCCGGCCGGCACCCAGGCTGAAGGTGGTTGGTAGATGGGTTCGGTGCCCAGCAGGGCCCCGGCACCCAGGGTTAGGCCTAGCAGGAGACCAGTCAGGAAGAGCCCAACACTCCGAACCAGCATGGTGACCAGGCCGCAGAGGAGTCCGATGCCCAGCGCAATGCCCGCGCTCACCTCCAGGCTCAGCTGTGTCTCTAGAACTCGCTCCTTGTGGCACAGCAGAAAGATCACCAGAGATCCTGATAGCAGGCCGGAGAGAAACATCACTGCCTTGAAGCAGCGGTAGCCTGGGAAGGGAGGCAGCAGGCACTGAGAGGCCGAAAGGGGTGGAGGAGTCCACAGGGATGGCTCTGATGGTAAGCAGAAGAGCATAAGACAGGAGCAGCACACCCAGGGACCTCAAGGCAAGAGGCAGAAAGGGCTAATCTCAGGAGAGTAGAGACTTCTCAGGAACTGAGAGGGAATGGGAGGGAAAAATCAGGTAAGATAGATGCATTGAGGGGAGTAAGTACAGAAAGAAGGTCTAATCCTTCCAGAGATGGTAGATGGGAAGAAATCAGCATAAGCTGATTCAGGCTATTGGGGAAGGGTGAAGAAGCCTTAAACATGGAGGATAATTTGGGAATGGAGGTTTGAGGTAGAAGGCAAGGGAGAGTGCCAGGGGTCACAGCTGAAGGGCATGGGGGTGGGGGATAAACAAGAAGAGCTGGCAAGAGCAGCATGGGCCATACTGAAGGTAAGCATTCCCTTATAGAGGAACAGAGGTGGCCCAGGAGCAAAGGAGAAAGTTAACATCATCCTTGAGGGTGACAGTCTTGGGCAGCTGCCCCCCAGAACCCTGGCTCTGCCCTCACCCTCACCGAAGCAGCAGTAGATGATTCCAAAGCAGCAGCAAAGAGCACACACCAGGGCGGGTGCCAGTTCAGGATTATCCTGGGGTTCCAAGACACATCTTGGGTCTGGAGGCTCTGGGAGTTGCTGATTAAAGGGCCTGGGGTCAGAGGTCATGGCCAGGGGCAGCAAAGCTTCCTCCATGGCAGGAAGAAAAGGTGGTCACAGAGGGGGAGGTCAGTGTCAGCTCCTCTCATCCATCCATGAATGTCTTGAGGGGTTTGGGAAACCTGCAAGGGGGTATGGGGCAGGAACTCAGGTGCCCATGAATCTTGAGGATTTTGTACCTCTATTTCATTTGAAGAAAGGCCAATTTCAGGAGGGAGCATGGCCCTGCTGGAGTAACTAAAGAAATCTACAGGATTGGGTTGAGGGGAGCCAGCTATCTCTTTACTACCCTCTGCAACAAGGATACTAACTAAAATGAAAATCTTAGAAGGTAATAAACCTTTTTCTGCCCCCTGACTTTCCAGGGTGGGGTAGGAGGAGTAGGAAGTCCTAAGATCTGTGGAGGGTAGGGTCCAGGGGCTCTAATAGGACTGGAGGCTAAAGACCCAGCAGCCTATTCCAGCTGAAAAGAAAGCTTGCCCCATCTGCAGCTGGGACTCAATATTACCACACTGGACTAGGAAGGGTGGGGTTAATAAGGGGGGAGAAGGAGGAGAAAGAGGAGAGAATGAGTCATGGTGGGGTCTCCAGACAGCTGCTCCAACCCCAGGGAAGAGGGGCGGGGGAAAACAGGCACCAAAAGAGTTCGAGACAAGGAATCAAGTAGAGATAGTCATCCACATTTGTCAGGGGTTTGAAGCCTCTGCTTCACAGGGAGATGGAGTTGTTGGGGGAAGGGGCATCCAGCCACAGTCCAACCCCCCGCCCCCCCTCCATGTAATAAGCAGGCACCTTGCCCACAGATATCTCACATCCTGGTAGCCTCCTGCTCCTCCCCTCAGGACGCTGGGACTTCCTACCCCTCCCTTTCCCTAGAGGTGTCAGGGATGCCAGTGGGATTTGAATTCAGTTCCTGAGAGGAGAACACCAAGGAGGGGCTGGCACTGGGGGCACTGCGGGAGTCGGGTAGGGCGGATGCAGGCACATTCCTTCAGCTGTCTTCTTTTGGACATCAAGATCCTAACAGGCTGGAGGGCTGGCTTGGGGAATCCCTGGGGTTCCTCTCCTCAATTCTCTAGGAAGCCTAGGGACCCTAAACAAGGAGAGGTCGGGGAGGGGGTGTTAACTACTCACCACCCTGCCAGGGCTGAGGAGAGGAAGGGGGTAGAAGTGCTTCCCTAGACCCCCAGCTGCATCCCTGCCCGGAGGTCCTAGGTGTCCGGGCGGCTGTCGGGCGTGGGTAACAACAGGGCCACTCAGTTCGTTGCCCCCTAAACTCTTGCAAGTCGTAGCCCAAGCCGGGTGAGCTAAATGCAATCAGCTTGGGGGGCGGAGGAAGGGGACAGGGTGGG